ATTTATGCTCCTTACGTGGCTGCAGAGCCTAACAGTTGAAACCTATGACGTAAGGTTAGGACTCTGAAACTGAGCAATGCAAAAAGAGGTCAAATTTCGTTAATATCTGGAGTATCTATCACAGAGACTTGCGACTGTGTGGAATAATAATAACCATTTTGGGGAATTATAGTCGTTTGCCCAGTGACGCGTTGAAATATTCACTGCTCGCTAAAGTGGAAAGGAAATTTCCGCACTGAAAAACGTAACGGCAGTGGTCCTCATGATTACATGTGCATCCACAAACAATAGAACCTGTCCTAGACCCTCAATGGGTGTGTAAGGTCGGCAGTTAGACATCTCCATTCAGAAGCCAGACTACTAGTAGATCTATGCTGAAACGACACCGCGTTGTAAATGCCTTCTCCACAAAGGTCTTTAAAAAAGTGCCTCATTTCAGAACTATAAATTACCTCACGCTCTTGTGAGAGCAGAGCTATTGATTAGCTTTGACAAAAACGAATGAAAGGACAAACAGAGAAATCACTTTGTGCCAGTTCAGGTCAGTCATGATTCGCCGGATTATCCCGCAAAGCTACGGTTATGGGTGACTGACCCAATCGAATAGGAGCAGTTTTCCGTCGGCTGCTGATGTTCTGCTTTTTACAACAAGAATGATTTCTCAATAACTAGAAGGCTTTGGAAGTTTTGAACATGCCAGAAATGTGGATGAAACTTTGCTCTATAGTAGTACAGGTATGAACGCTGTTTATGCTACTAATCACCGCGGGTATCATGAAAATACATTGCTATCAGCACTTGGGAATATTTTCGGCCCCGTGTTGGAACTTTTTCCCCGTTTCTTTTATATCCATGCATTTCATGTAATGAACATACTGATTCAGTTGAAATAACATATCGTAATAACATAACATTGTTCGTCCCATTACCCGTGAACAAACTTTTTCGAAAAAAGGTTTTCTTGTGAATTACTAAATGTGCAGAGTAGTCTTTCTTGTCTCACCCCTCCTTTTTCGATTTCCATCCAATTAGCTATCAAATTAATATACACATTGCGGAAAACTCTGGAACCACCAAACTGAATATAGATACTATAGCGTCCACAAGGGCGCGTGCGGCGCAGTAGTTGGATGCGCCACTGTGACACACACGTGGAATTGATCCCCGCGCCCATGGTCCACTAAGCATTCCATCCCTCCGGGATCGGCAACTTGGTGCCAGACTTGTCTGGGAGGATAGCAGCACTAGCTCGATACATCGGTAGGCCACCGCGAGTCATTGTAAAGGCCAGATATGCATTCAGTCACCTCCAACGACACTTAATGAGGTCGAATTCATGGCGCATTCCTCAGAAATTGATCAACGCCAAGAGCTTTATCTTTTGTCTTTTATAGCGTCCATAGGAGCGTGCCCTGTTGGTTGAGGTACATATTATTAATAAATATATTATTTTTATACATTAATATAATATATTAATATTATATTATTATATTATATTTAATATTATATTATTATATATTATTATATTAATATATCAGTAAATACATTATATATATATATATTATATTTGCAACTGGTTCCGAGTGCCAGTTATCTTATTATTCCATCGTAGAAATCATTTGGATCACACGTCGTTGTTTATGGAGATACTCATCAACGAAGCTTCCATTTGTTTTTGTCATGTGCAACAATATTCACCTGGGTTCTTCTCCCTCTGGTGACTTGAGGAGCGCCGCAGCTTCAGATATTCGGAAGGAATTCCGATGATTCCCACAATCTTCCACTTGTATGCTCACGACGTGTAGGAACCAGATGCTAACTAGTCTCATTAACTGGCTGTCGATAATACTCATCAGTATCCTGCTACCTTGGAACCTTGGCTTGTATATAAGTGACTGCAATCTTAGTTCCTTAAATAATTCGAATGTTGATTATCTCTGTCTCTCCTTCTTTATTCTATTTTCCCTCATTTGCATAGTATTTGATACCTCTAAATTCATTCCCTTGAGATAGCGCGTTTGGTCACGTTGTTTCATTTCAAATCCTGATTGCCTTGCCCCCACTTAGGAAAGCATATATTGCAGCACTAAAAATACTAGGTTGGAGTAAGTGGGTTTACAGCGTTCACTGTCCTTTTTACTTCTATGCCCGAACTTACTCATTGCCTGTTGCTCAGGTTTGAAGCTAAATCATTTGTTATGTAAACTTCTCGACAACTACACAAAGTTTGAGTATTTGGAAGTACTTGTCGTTCTCCTATGAACGTCAGCTTCTTGAAAATCAAACGAATACTAACGTTTTTTACAAGAGCTGCCAAAATCACCCATCAAGATTCCTGCATGCCTAACACTTGGTTTCTTAAAGATAAAAACAAAGAGTAAAGTTCTCGGTGTTGATCAATTCCTGAGTAATGCGCTATGCATTCTACCTCATTAACCATAGTTTGGAGGTGATTGAATGCATATCTGGCCTTTTCAATGAGTCGCAGTGGCCTACCGATGTGTCTAGCCAGCGGTGCAATCCTCCTATACAAGTTTGGTATCAATTTGCAGCACCCAGAGGGATGGAGGGCTTGGTGGGCCATGGGCGTGGGGATCGCTTCCACGCGTGTGTAGCAGAGCACCTATGACCACTGCGCCACACGCGGTTTCTTAAGAACGAATATTGTCAGCAAAGCAAATATCTATGATGTAACTACCGGCTATCGACTATCACTCAAATGTTTTCCTGTGCGACGTTCAAATCCAGCTGTAAAATAAAACTCTCCTGGTCTGGTCTTCCTAGACCCCTTTCTTCATGTCGGTCATAAAGCCGCTGTAAAGTTGAAGAATTTTAGTTGTGAAGTTGTATAGGTCATGAAGGAACTTTACCTATTGAGAAGGCATGCCTTAGCTCTCAAGAATTTCAATGCAATCCTGTCTCGACGGAGTTAAATAATCTTTTTAACTCTATTCAAGCCATATAAGGCGATGCCTTACACTCCTGCGGTACCTGAATGAATTTCGTTATTGTATGGATATCAGAAATCGCGGTGGATCTTCTTCGGTAGGTCTGCGTGATTGTCATTCGTTCAGTCAACAGTGTGGACAATTAGTTGCCGCTGTTTTCTTGACCTCCCTTACTGTACAACATTATGGCTTCTGAGGTGTTTCATTGGTTGAGAACGTTCTAACGGTTTAAAAAAATGGAAGGGCTAAGGATAAAGCGTAGTGCGTTGATCCCCTGACGGATGTGCTATGCAGCCAACTTCATTAGGCATTGCAAAGATGACTGAATGTATGTTCAGCCTATGCAATCACTAGCGGAGGCCTACCGATGTATCGAGCCAGTACTGCTATCCTCCCAGACAGATCTTGCTCCTATTTAACGAACCTGAAGAGATGTAAGGCCTGACGAGGCGTGGGCGCGGGATCGAACCATCTCATCTATCACGTGTGCACTGTGGAGCACCTAAAACCGCTGCGCTACTCAGGCACTGGGACCAATTACTTAGTTTATTTTTACTCGACCCGTCTTTCAGATATTCTCTGTGCACCAGCATTTCTAGGTAAACGTATGCTTTATAACAACCTCGCAATTGTTGAAAAATAAAGCAACACATTAATTTTTAGATTTCTAAACGCAACAGCGACTATTGCAAACACAAATGATACTACCGACTTTCCATTAACCTCGGCATTGATCAAGTGATTTTGTTCGTATTTTTTGAGCAAACGCGAGGTGTTATTGTTCTTTGTTCACGATTAAGCTGACGTTTCGGCGAATTTCGCCTTCTTCAGAGCCGCTTTCTATGAGGTCTCAACTAAGTATGTCACGTAGAGACCAACCGCACAGAAATCACGTGGAAGTATGGAAATCACATTCGGAAAATTCGGAAATTCGGAAAATTCGGAAATTCGGAATTTCGGATTCGGATCGAATTCGGAAATTTTGGAAATTCGTGGAAATCACATTAATGTGCACATTATACTTCCACGTGATTTCTGTGCGGTTGGTCTCTACGTGACATACTTAGTTGAGACCTCATAGAAAGCGGCTCTGAAGAAGGCGAAATTCGCCGAAACGTCAGCTTAATCGTGAACAAAGAACAATAACACCTCGCGTTTGCTCAAAAAATACGAACAAATGATACTTTTCGGAGTTCCATGCCTTGTTGGGCGAAATCACGTTTGCTGACTTGTTTTATTGTTCGAGATAAAAGCCTTGACTCCAAAGAAAAATGAAAACAGTACGTTCCATGGATTCCAGAAAACAGAAGTTCGTTTTACATTATAGCCGGACCTGTACTTTTTTCGCACCTAACAATGTTTAATATAATCTGAGTTATGTTGGTTTAAATTTTAAGACATCGATTATTTCCAAGCCACACGCGTTGTACCCAATGCATGCCGGCGGTTATAGCTCAGTGAACGGGTTTAACGCCATAGAGTGCATTGAATGGCCGCCTAGTATTTACAATGCGCTTAGTATTGGATACATAAAGCTTAACACTTTCCTTTCATGTGCACTGATTTCGATGTGCATGCTGACGGACTCTATGAACCATATATATTGACTTCGATGCTCACGCTTTCTGCTTGTTTAAATCGCCGCACATGGCTTTTGCCGGACTGCTGTAGTTAATCGATTGCTTGTTCAACATTTCTCAATCTCCTTCATTTGCGAGAAGTCCTTTTCGTACGAGTTACCTCGTCTGCTTGAATTCCACGTCGTGTGAGTACTTTGTTTGTTCGTACTTACACAGCAAATACTGGAGCTGGAGGCACTTTATTGTCGCAAAAAAATGGGAAATTGCAACGTTGTATGGGACGAGTTTTCTATCAAGAAGCTTGGCCAGGTAGCTTACTCGCACGATCTTTTGATTAAAAAGTTGCAGCTTAGAAGTTGGGTGATAAGGGATCGCAATGTTCCAACATTTGAGAAAAGCAGCTATCTTTCAGTTCTTGCTGTTCATTGCAACTAATATCTAGGATAACAATCTCCTTATATTAAAATCACACCTTATATCAACGACAAGGATTTCTACACTCGTATTCATAAGCTGCATCAAAAGCTTTTGGAACAACATTGATGCTATGTTGCTAATATGTATAAGAATAATCATTATCTACTTAATCTGAAAAGGAGGCTTGGCTGTGGTAAAAGATGCACGTTTAGGTCGTGAAATCAGCGAATTAAAACGGTTAAGAAATAATGACAAATACGAGCTGTGATGACATCAAAATACTTAAGAGTACCATTGCATTGCACAAATCGCATTGTGTATAGGAATAGCTAAAATGCCGGCTATAAGGAGACCAATCGTATCGCCGATTATGACGGTCGACAAAGCGAATTCACGAATGGACGCGTCGACCTGTAAGCAGTTCATTTGCTTCGACGACTTTTTTATTAACTTATTCATAAAGCTGCTGTGGACGGCCGACTAAAACCTTATCCATTACGACGTAATATCCCAAAAATCAAAGCACTAGCCAGTTTAATTACAATTTCATACGAATCCTTGAAATTATTAGTGGGTATTTCACATGGCAATCTCCCGGTGTTGAGGATAAACCGTCGCTTGACAGCGATCAAACAACTCCAGATGGGAAGAAACGGGTTGGTATAACTCATAACTCCAGCCATTTCATCTTAATGAAACCATGGCTGCTGCACTGAAGCATCAGGCGTGCTCAGAGCAGTTTCCATTTGAAGGGCGTTCTGTTGGCTAGGCGGAGTTTTCGCTTCTATCTTTCAAGGTATCCTACCATCAAATTGTCAAATGTGTAATCTAAGCAGTTCCTGGCATAGATTTACCCTTCATCAGGCCTTTGCTTCAAAGTATCGGAGTTTCTCCTAATTTGGTGGCCCCACGCAGTACACTCAATCCCATCTATCTTTCGCACCAGGAAGAATAATGCAGGCCATTAAAAGAATGGGAAATCATGTATAGATATTAAGGTAAATAAACTAAATTAGAAAACAGCCGTACCTTTCTGTGTATATGATAGAAAGTGTTTACATATGATGAGCCACCGATGAGACCCTCGTACAGAATGATGGCGCACATTACACCGAAGTGTGGCACGAAGGCATAAATGGCATTGAATATCAGAAAAACCATATTGAAAAACTAAAATAGCGATATAAAATGGCGAAAAATAATCTGCTGGTTTTCTCAATACCTAAAAGACTAGGACGTAAAGCAACCCATTGCGAGGCCACTACCGAGAACGCAGATGTTTTTCAACTTCGACTCCGTAGAAAGTAAGTTCCTGACAAATCGTTGCAGAACATCTTTCATATTTATTTGTACAAAACTTTGCTTCCATAAGCCTTTTGTTAGTTATGCCTACACTGGCTAGGTAGAGAGAGTAAAGATTGGAGCACCGAAGTGTTCACCTTCACGGGCTTGCCTAATTCAATTGGAGCACCGAAGTGTTCACCTTCACGGGCTTGCCTAATTCAAATAATCCTAATAGAAACTCACCAGTCCTTGATTGATCACAAATTCGGTTACGTACACCGAAGCCAAAGGTATAATGTATCGAAGTAAGTTTTTGGTCTTTACAGATTTTCGATTAAATAGAAAACTGCATGAAACTAACAAAAGCACTAACTATTTCAAAGCAAACACAGAAATAAATTGAAGTGTTTGCATTAAGTGTAAGTGAAATCGGCTCCAAACAAGAGTGATTTCCCAATCTGGTCTCCCAGCTTAACTCATTCGTAATAAAAGAGGACATGATGAGCATGGAGCCGTCTTCACTGCGCAAACCAGCGTTAGCACACTGCCACATTGCAGATCGATTCTCTTAGAAGAATCGAAAGAGAAAGAACACTTACTTGAAGCAAGGGCAACAAAAATGCAATGGAAATCATGTTCAACTGAACAAGTTTGATCGATGATCGCGATACAAACACTCCAATCGGGTACATCACCTGCAAGAACATTTGCAATGCACACGGTAACAAACTACCATTCCCTTATGAAGAACTGATAGATAGTGTACCTGAAACCATTTGTACTGACTTCTTGGGCTTGTTCCAAAGCTGTGTTGGCAGTCAAATATGATCAGTTCAAGCTAAAAGGAATATTTCAGCATCTACATGAAAAAGCCTTGGCTTCTTGTTGATGTTTTATTGAACTGCTCCTTGGTAAGACTCTTTTCAACGACTTGATCACGTCTACTTCTTATCCGGAAAAAAGCTAATAGTGTAGGAAACCCGCGGTAGAAACTCACCAGTCCTTGATTGATCACAAATTCGGTTACGTACACCGAAGCCAAAGGTATAATGTATCGAAGTAAGCCCTTTAAATACAGAAATTATGTCAACACAGTGCTTCACAGAGCACTTAGTTACAAAATGTGTTATCTGAAAACCTGCAACTCTTAGTTCAAAAGCGCAAATATGCTGTCTTTTTTCCAACGTTCGCTAACTAAAAGATCTAAGGCAGTAAATTATCAACACTTAGAGTTCAATTTATTAAAATTTCTTTCCGCAAATAGAACGCACCTGAATAACTTTCAACCGCTGCAGGGTTCCGTTTAGAGCAGGCACTTTCACATTAGCGTTATTGCTTACCGATGACAACTCCTTCAACTCTACTCGACTATAAAAGAGTTATAAATACCTGGTTGTCTTCTAACTAGTCAATATAACTCTACAGTTCTTCATATATCTTATAAAATTGAGAAGCCTAAGCATTTTTTACATTCTTTTGCGGATGGAGCAACTGAATGACACTACAAAAGTACTAACAGAAGATCTGCTAAATGTGAATTTCTGATGGGATTCTCCATCTAATTGCACAATAAGTTAAACGGATAAAAGAATAAACTCGTTCTCCGCATTGATCAATCCTTAAGGGATGTGTCATGCATTCGACTTCATTAAGCATCGTTTGCAGGTGATTGAATGCATATCTCGCCTTTACAATGACTCGCGGTGGTCTACCCCTGTATCGAGCCAGTGCTGCTATCCTCCTAGACGAATCTGGTTCCAATTTGCCAATCCCGGAGAGATGGGTGGCTTGGTGAGCCACGGGCGCATGGATCAATCCTACGTGTGTATTGCAGGGCACCTTCGACCACTGCGCCACACGCGTCCTTTACAATATATGTTAGTCGCACATAATTAGAATAATACGTTTCAAAAGTCTTATATCTGAGAACCTGCTAGAAAACCATTCACTTGGTCGAATAGGGCTGACTTGTCGCAGTGTAGGAGCTCGAACAAGGATAACATAGTATCTGAAACTTCATCATTCTAAAACTACTTAAAATTATTAATTTTTCCAGACATTATAGAGGCTTCCTTCCTCTGAGGGAAAATATGGCGCCATCAACAAACTAAGTCTATGACTTGTCAGCAGAACACCACTATTCGGGCTAAGCAAATTATAACAAATCGAAGAATGCTTGTAATACGAGCAAAGGGTTCACATCATTTAGTAAATCAGAATAACAAACTAGTCAAAACGTACGTGAACGCAAATATGGCTGGCATGATAAGCATAACTAGCATGGCCTGAGTCAAGGTAAGCGCAAGTAGACGAGGATCGGTCATTCCGGCATAAGAGAAGGCACCAATCAAGCCGGACATGCCGGTTCCCGAGGACCAAGTGGAGATCGTATGTCTGGAATAGGAAGTGAACATTTTCATAAAGTGAACATCGGGTGCAGAAATATTTCAGAATGGCAATGCACGCCTTGTCGAAAATAATTTCGCTTTAGAAATTTATTTTTGAAACCAAGGACAACATAGAAACCGTTGCTGGATTGCACTTTTCGGGTAGACAGGTATAGCGCGTTCATGAATATGCGGCTCACAACCCAGTGGCTTAAGTAGGTGCTTAAGCAAGAATTTTCCGTATTCAAATTTTAGTGGAACTAAAAGCCCTCTCAGAACACGGAAAACAGGTTTTCCAAAAGTTCTAGTATCATCATACTTTACAAATTGTATTCATCGTCTATCATGCAGATTTTCTTATAGAAACTCGTCATAACCTAGAGGTTCATCAATAATCGAAACAGTTTGGGTTTAGCAGTGAAAGGAAATAGATCGAAAATTCACTTAGTTTCTGGCTACCCTACATCGGCCGCATTATTCCTTTATGCGATCACCTGTATCACCTCCTTTATGCGATATAAAAAAAATTTGCATTGTCAAAATTTTCTAGGAGACCAACTTTGAATAGTGTCCCGCCAAGCCTAGATAGGTGATTTCGCCTAAACCGCCTGCCACAGCCACAGTGCTAACTCCGACCAATGCAGCCGGAACGGACTCTGCGAACGCAGTCACTAGCAACGCTGTTGCTTGTAGAGTACAAATCATGAAGTGACGAATCCTAAATAATTGTAGTCTAAAATATAATGTGATTTATGTGAAGGCTATGTAGTGACTTAATACACCCACAATATATAATATTTTATAGATAGAATAAATATACCCATAAGGCACTCGGTGAATGAAGAACGGGCACGTTAGTTTCACAACGAGTGCCGGTAAGGTAACGCAGATGAGTACAACACCCACCGAAATTGGTGAGCACATTCGAGTTGTGATTTCTTGCTGCAATCAGTGTTACTTATGTGTATAAACTTAAACAAAATTTTGTTCAGTACTAAAACGGAAAACAATTCGTACTCAGTAAAGCAGAAGGAAGAACTTGGACTACAACTCTGTATAGATGCGCTGCTTCGTTATTGCTGTTTTCGTGTTGCTCCTGACGATTCGACTACCAGACGAGTCAAGGTACAAAATGAGGTTCGAAGCCAGTTGGGGGTAAAAGACAATTCTTCATCAAAGGTCATTTGCTACAGGCTGTAAATGACGACCAGGCTCATCTTGGTCTTGCTGACATCTTGCCTCCAACGGTTTATACAGCCCGTGTTTTCTAGCTAAGTAATAGTTCTCCATCACTAGCAGTGGCAGCCGTGGTGGTCAGTGCCTCTTCGATCTTGATGTAAGGCCTCAGCTGTCTCTCATTGGTCCTCAGCTGACTCCAGCAAGCTCCGCTAATCTCTCACTTCTTTCTGCCACGTGAAAAAATATCCCCGCAGGTATTCGCTACATCAACTCAGCAAGCATTATATTTATTCCCAACACCGACTTTCTGTTAAGCTCGGCACTGCTTGATAATTCGATGTTTTTCTTTAATAAGCAGACATGAGGTTGTTATCACAGGGTTTATAAGGATACAATAGCTGACGTTTCGGCGGATTCGCCTTATTCAGAACCTAGAAAGGTCAAATTGAGATGCGATCTACTCAGCCAAACACTTTCATAACCATAGCATATAAAACTTAAAAATAAATTTGTATTCGCATAAGAAACAGCTTTATTTAAACACCTACCGTTTATTTGTTGTAAGTATTTAAGTTAGTTGGTAGATAGCAACCGCACCGAGTAATACATGGGCGTGGACTGTGCCTGTGTCAGGTTATTGGAGCAGCCTGAGCTATAGCGTTAGGTCGCGCGTGATGGCGCGATACTCTTCCTGGCTTAACTTCAATCTTACCGACTAGGTGTTCTTCAATACGAACACAGAGCGGTCTACCCGTTTCGCTAACGTATTGGTCACCGCACGCTTTACAAGTGATCAAATAGACTGTACCCGAACTCATGCAATCACCGTATCTACAGTTATGCAAATTATGCAGTTTTTCGTTGTACACAAACGGTCATATAGGCGGTTGCGAACTAAACTGGCTCGCCAAATAGCCATTTCAAATGGTTACGAAGCTGTAGCTTCTCGGCATAGGCATAGAGGAAAAACCACGCCCCAGAGCGATAATTCTAGTGAAAACAAGGCTCCGTTTCCCTTGCCCTTTATTTCAAACGAAATAAGTGCAGCCATAAAACGTTGCTTAATAAGGGCGGGTCCAGAGAATTCCGTAAGTGTGATAGAAATACCACCGGACACTCTAAGACGTGGGCATCAGTTCCAGCCAGCCACTGGCGAAATTGTACATGTTCTTGTTCGAAACGCACGCTAAGAAAATTTCAACCCTCACAAGGAGATTTAAGAGATACGGAAAATATATTTCATATGCCTACAAATAAACTACTAAAAATAGAAAAAACATGGGATACCAAAAGGCTGCATGAGCCGGGGTGAAAGGATAATGAAAGGATAAGGCTCTTGGCGTTGATCAATCCCAGAGGGATGCGCCATTCATTCGACTTCATTAAGCATCGTTGGAGATGATTGAATGCATACCTGGCCTTTACCTGACTCGTGGTCTACCGATGTATCGAATCAGAGCTGCTATCTTCCCAAACAAGTATGGTACCATTTTGCGACCCAGGATGGATGAAAGGCTTGGTGAACCTGTGTTGTGGGAATCGATCCCATTTGTATTCCAGAGCGTCTCCAACCACTTTGAGGTGGTGAGCAATTTTTCCACCACCACGAAATAACGAAATAACGTTTAGAACATATTCACTGCAGCATTCTCAAAAATTTGAATCAAATGTCCGAAGGATATGTTACGAATTTTAGAAAAATAAAAAAATCAGGGTCAAAAAGAATCTGCAAGATTACTCAAGTGTTTATTTTCTTTTATCTTCCAACGTGATGAACGAGACTGAGTTAACTTCTAGAGAACGAAGCTGTAAATTTCTGCAAAAAATATAGCTTGGACTTAAAAACAGAGGTTCTGCTGAATGTCCCATACATCGTCCCATACAAAGGTGCTGCTAAATGTCGAACGTGAATTTATCCTTTGCACAGCTTCCCTTACCTACCTTGATGAAGGAGTTCGACCATTTCATTCGGAAGCCCACCTAAGAGTGAGCCTACCTCACGATAGACACTGGCGAAGTAATCTATTCCCTTGCCAGAAAAAGTGAAAATGAATATAATTGTAAAAATGTCGTGTTCGTCATCTTCTTTGAGCAAAACAGAGCTATCGAGCACTCCTGATCAGTGGTAGAGACGAATAGAATTTACTTTAACCTGTTAGAGTTTTCGCCAACAGAACTCCAAAAAATCCAGATGCTGGTTCTCTTGTGTCATATGAGCGCTGAGACTGTAACGCCCCTAGAACATCGTTTCCCAACAAGCGGTAACAGTTTTTGAAGAAGCTTTATGAGTCAGTCAACCGAGCCATCTAGATCGCTTTGATCACGCGTACCACGTTTATCGAGTAACTGTAAAGGGCGCTAGCTTACTTCCGTTTCATGTAGTAATAAGTTGGCTATGGTTTATTCACGAACTCGATTATCCTCATGTTCTCTTCTGGTGTGTCCGTAAAAAATTCTGACCATTTATCCGGTGGTGTTCTTGTTTCGCACTTGTGCAACCACAACTGTCAGCCCATTCTGTTCAACTGTTGTCGCTAAGAAGCACACGTGCAGAACACACCTGATCTGCACATAATCCCGTATACAGGGTCATCTCTAAGCATTGAATGTCAATGTAGTTTGAAACTATAGATTCTCCCCACCACTTTTATGATACCGGATACTCCAGCCGCAGCCCTTTCGATTGCACGCTCGGTAGCATTAAGTGGTCTCAATGTTACCGCGTCAAGAGGCTGGTACAGTTACCGCAATGATGCAGGTAATTTGGACCAAGGTACTGGCTTGAATCTACATCAGGTCTGCCTACCTTCGTATCTCACCAACTTCTGAAATTTGTTACCAGACTTGTACGTAATTAGTCTTCTCCCATTAAACTACATGGGAACACCCTGCCACTATCCCGGGATTCCAAGGAAAATCGTCTCGACCAGCATTCAGCAGCATTCCTGGCAAAAACGAAAGAAATCCTCATGCGGCAACTGATCCACACGCAAAAAGTTCGAAGAGTTCCAGGGATGCTGAATGCGAGAAAACAAGTAGAATGGAAGAAATGGAAGAATAAAGGAAAAACTTTAGCGTTGATCAATCCATGAGGGATACGCCATGCGTCCCACATCACTAAAAAACATTAGGGGAGATTGGATGCATACATGGCCTACAGAATAACTCATGTTGGCGTATCAATGCATTAATTCAGAGCAACTATCGTCTCAGACAGATTTGCTGCTAATTTGCCGATCTCGATTGAATGCAATGCATAGCGGGCCTGGATCGCTCTATCGAATCCATGTATATTGCAGTGCACCTTTAAGCATCGCGCTACACGCTTCCTTCTGTGCGATATATGTGATTGTCATTTGCGATTTCGGACCATGTAAATGAGTTAAGTGGACGATTACCATCTAGCGTAAGACTCTTGAAGGGTTTTGAGTCAATTCCAGAAATTCAAAAATGAACCGCTAGGAGGAGTGTCTTGTCATCACGCTTGACCTGGCGCCATACCTCAGGCTAATCCAATGACCTGACACAGGCACAGTCCACGCCCACGTATTACTCGGTGCCGTTGCTATCTACCAACTAACTTAAATACTTACAACAATTAAACGGTAGGTGTTTAAATGAAGCTGTTTCTTACGCGAATACAAATTTATTTGTTAAGCTTTATCTGCCAGGGTTATGAAAGTGTTTGGCTGGGTAAATCGCATCTTAATTTGACCTTTCCTGCCTCTGAAAAAGGCGAAGCCGCCAAGACGTCAGCTATTGTATCCTAATAAACCTTGTAATGACAACCTCGTGTCTGCTTATTGAAGAAAAACATCGCATTGTACTCATCTTTTAAGATCCTCTGAGCTTATAGTGTCAGTTCTACTTGTTGTGCCCATAATATGTTGTCGTCCCAAGCTGTTAACAACTCTTCTCCGGTTTTCCCGATGATCCATCACGTGCGTAAGCCGTCTTATTTTCGATATTTTAGAATATGTTATCATGTCTCTAATGTTTAATTGTTGCCCTAAATTGCAAAATAGGGATTATAGCAGAGCGGTACTGCTGCCAATCATCACGAGCAAGGTTCTGGTTCGATCCCGCCTCGGCTCACCAAGGTCCTCATCCCTCCGGAGTCGGGAAACTGGTACTAGGCTTGCCGGGAAAACATCATTCCGCAGTACAATTAGCAACGCTTCAGTCTGGCTATCTCAAGAGTCTAGAGAGAATCGACTCCACCAGCATTCTACAGCGTTCAAGGTGGTATGAAAATCCTCAAGTAGCAACCGAAGCAGCACGTAGAAGATGGAAGACTTTCGTGGATGATGGATGGGAGGAAATGAATCGAATGTGAGAAGATCCGCACAGTAGACGTGAAGACAGATCGTGTAAAATAAGATTTAAAAAAAAGCATAAAATCAGATTCACTTTTTCCCTCAATAAAGAATACTCATAGCATCAACCTTTCTGTAGCGCTTTCGACTACGGTTAGTGATTTTTCGCCTTTTTTCTACAAAGAATTCACACTTTGCCAGGAGTATTTTAGTGCAGAAAGAATCGAATAGTGGAGCACGAGGAAGAGTGTTCTTTGCCATCCTCATTACAACACCGATGCTCTTGAAAGCCTTCCAATCTTTCTGTTTTGACCAGCTCTGCAGGTAGGCCGCACGTCATGTTGACTTATCGCCCATGTATACACTACCGCAACCACCTGTAGACCATTCCGTTGAGCGACAATCAAGAAACGAAACAACAATCACGAAACGTCTATTTCTCATGAACACCGGATATCTTGAGATTCAACAGAAGAATACTCGCTCGACTTCTCTAAATCTCTGTGTTTTATCAGCCGTATCAACGCTAAGACGAAGATGCTGTAGCTGTCACCTCCGGTTATCGAATTTTGATCGCACATTTTTCCGTTTCAGCCTCCCAATGATATTCTTAAAGGTTGCTGTAAATAGCTTTGATAATAAATGAACCGCTGTCACACCCCTGGAAGCCGTTTTTAATCTCAATTTCAATATCGATTTTGTTCCAAGATGGTAAAATATTGGTTGTGAAATTTTCTATAGATCATGAAAGATCTTCATGTATTGAGAGGAACCCAATAAGGTCTCGTGATCACTACTCTCTCGTTGAGTATATAACCCTTTTTAAGCAGACGAATGTGTGGAAATTCGGTCTCGCATAATCTTTCGACACTAAAGAAGTTTCCTTGTCACATCGATTTGGTCTACGGTACTGTAATTTTCGAAACCCCGGTTTTTCACATGGCTGTCCTTCACCCAATGTTGGTCAGACATGTCGGGAATGACTTCACTGATAGGTTTGCAGACATTGGAAAACAGTCAAATTGGAGACAGTTGACAATGATGGATGAGTCTCCGTTACTGTGTAATAAAACGACCTTGCTAGTTGTTCATTCATTAGAACATTTCTGTTCTAATGGAAAACATGATAAACACGGAGCCAATGTGTCGATGAGGACCAGTGGAACGCTGCTTAGAAGTTCGGCACCAGTCCTGTATTTGCTAGGTTTTCCACGGTTTTTGAAAGGCGGCATTACCTTGTCGACCTCGAAAATCAAAACCGGAACGACGTATCCATTTTTCTTGATTTCACATGGTGATGAAAGGATGAAGTTGTCAAGGCGAACGAAGGAGTAGTCGTGGATGATATTCCGCAATCCTTTTCTGAAAGGAATTTTTCGTCCACTTGTCCTAGAATGATAATCTCAGACTAGTTTTTGCAAGCGTCGTGGATGCTTTTCCCCACCCACTTTAGCAATCTCAGCCACCACTGCTGTTTCTTCTTTCACCGCTTTTCTGAGAAGCTTTTCAAGTTTGGTTCTGCTTTTTGATGGATTGCTTATGAGTCGTGTTGGTATATCAACTTGAGTCTTACTGGAGACAGACGTCGACTGGTAAGTTTTGAACCGAAGACTTCTTTCACGCTAACGTGAAGAACAGAATCTTGAATAAGCCGCTCATAGTCTTCATTGATGTTGTAATCAATAGCATCCTCCCAGGATCCGGCCATTGTTCTTAATAATTTTGGGTTTACGATTGTTCTGGAATGTGGCTTGTTAAGTTTTGCATCTTTGTCGTCTTTTTGGAAAAAATTGGATTCCTGCGGCAAAAACTCGATGGTCCATTCCCACGCCTGATAAGACCAATAGAACCGTTCGGGTTGAGAAAACACTGTTCTCGAAGCGAATTTTTGATATCCAACTTAACCACAGGTGATACACCTATAACATTTAATTTCACCAGATTTAGTAAAATCATATTCGAAATACAAGCCAATTGTGTCACAATCAAGGAAACAAATCTCCTCAGAGAGCTCCAAAATGCTCGTTTGAAGCGGATCTCCTGACCGATTACTCTACCTGGCACTGAAAGCGTCAGTACAGATGCGGCTAATCTTGTAACATAGCTACAAATACAACGAGGCCTAGCCGCAATGGACGAAACGTAACAGAAAAATTTTTCATAAACGTCAACCCACCACACAGGTATCGGTGGCATTTTCAATCGAATGTGTCGAACGGCGCTGCTTCCGCAGGATGTCCTGTGCAGCGCCTAACATCAAGCTGAACACAAAGTTATTGCACACGCCAAATATCCTGAAAACGAAAGGTCCTCAAAGTACCAGAAACATCTCCTTTAAGTAACACACATTTTCACTGTTTACAAACCCATGAAAAAAGATATGTGCGAATTTTTTACTCCTTGTTCTCGCTCCATTTTCCAATACCTTTTATGACTGGCAATCATCTCAGCGAAACAGATTCATCTCGTTTATGTTAGTATTCTTTATGGTAAGATGCCGTTGTCGATAACATCGACGAAGAATACAACCGATTCATTCAACATCTTCACGTCAGCGCTATGAAAGCAGAGAGTTCGAAAGTCACTAAGAGACGTCTGTCTCCAGAAACACTTGAGCTGATAATTCTTTCTACTTCTGTTCAGCAAACACGAGGTGTTATTTTATTTCTTTATTTACGTACAAGCTGACGTTTCGGCGGATTTCGTCTTCCCCAGAGCCTGGAAAGGTCAAGTTGACAGCAACCTATTCGGTCAAACACCTCCATAACCAAACAGAGAAAACACTAAACCAAGATTTCATCACATTTAACACAGCTCTGCACACTCACCGCTTTCTACGGGTCTTCCACTGAGTATGTCGTGTGAAGACCAACCGCACAGAATTCACATGGAAGCGTAATGTGCCCTCCAGAACAACAGGTTTATATACTGTCTAATATCAAGCGTGATAATGAGGCATTCTTCCCTGCGGTTCATTTTCGGATTTCTGGAATTAATCCAGAACGCCTCGAGAGTTTTGCGCGCTTGCTTTCTTGATTGCTGTGCGAGGATCGTGACACCTACTTCAAAGTCTCCCCCGTTATGTCTCTGGGTCCTATGCGTGCCTTGCGGAGCATTTGGCTTATGTTTGCCGACTAGGTGTTCTTTTATGCGGACACAGCGGAGTCTGCCCGTTTCGCCAATGTATTCGGCTCCGCACGCCTTACAGGAGAGAGATCAAATAGACTGTACCTGATCTCACGCAATCACCGTCTCTACCATTAGGGCAAATTATGCAATTTTGCGTTGCACATAGACGGTCGTATAGACGGTTACGAACTAGCTGGCGCCTAAGATTGCTCGGTGGCATTTCAACTACGTTTACCGAATTCTGTATACCCGCTCTTCTTAAGCAGCGTTTTATAGCTGTACTCACATCATTTGAGATAAAGGGAAGGATAAACGGGACCTTTCTATCGCTAGAGTTGTCGTTTGCGGGCCTCCGGTTTCTCCTACACCTATCCCGAGCTACAGTTTCGTAGCCATTGGAAATGGCTATTTGCCGCGCCAAGTTCCGGGACACATCTCCGTGCTCTCTTCCCGTGCACACGTTGGTTGCTGTTCGAAGCATGTTTCTTACAAGCGCTGTTTTCGTGTGAGAGTGGTAAGAAGAGAGGTAATGTACCAAGATGTTTTTACTACTTAGCTTTCGGTACCACTTCGTAATGTAGCCATTTTCTGACAGGTTAATTTGGACGTTCAGGAATGGAAGCCATTTTTCCTTCGGTTTCTCCTGGGAGAACTTGATATACTCTGACTGTTTGTTCATCAACTTGAAACATTTGACCATTTCCTCTTGTATTGAGCAAAAGACAAAACAGTCATCTATATATCTACAGTAGAGTAATAACCCGAGATCAATCACCGGTGCTTCCACCTTGGACATAAACGCAATGGCAAGGCTTGGTGCCAGTCGTTGTTCCATTGCCAACCCTCTTATTTGAGCGTAGTACCTTCCGGACCATCTGAAGATTGAGCAGCTTAAGCAATCTTTTAAGAACAGAAATAAAAGTATCTCCCTCGTGTTTGCTGAACAGAAGTAGAAAGAATTGTTCAATCAATCAATGCCGAGGTTAATAGAAAGTCTGAAGTGGGATTTACTTGAGCTAATACGCCAGCGTTGAATCGCACGAGCTGCAGGCAACCGCGAGCTAAGGTCCGAACTTGCGAAACAACGCAGACAGGCGATAAAAAAGATCTTAAAGAGAGAAGAGCAGCAGTAATGGTCGAAGCTGCAGAGAGTAGGAAAAGCATTCGCAACGTTCACCGAAGCTTCGCCAATTACAAGACCAAGATGACTGCACTACGACGCCCAGACGGAACAGTTACAACGTCAAGAAACGCAATGGAGAAAGCTATTCACGAATACTACTTAGATCTCTTCGACAGCCACGTCCATCCCCGTCATATGAAATAAAGAAGGATGGATATGTTGTACCACCGGTTCTCCCTTCCAAAATCCGACATGCCATTTCGTCGGTGAAAAATCGAACAGCACCAGGTCTACACAGGATAAGACTAGAACACCTGAAGAACCTTCCGCCAGTCCTGGTAAACACACTGGCTCGGCTCTTCACATGTTACTTATCTGAATGCAAGGTCTCTACTCCGAGGAAGACCAGCAATACCGTGTGAAACCGCTCTGTCTCACTTTCATCGATTTACAGAAGGCCTTTGATTCTGAATTTTGAATTGAAATTCAGGTAGAACGAGTCATGGAAGCTCTTGATAGTCAAGGTGTCCCTACTCAGTACATAAAGATTCTTTTCGAGCTGTACAAAAATTTCACAACCAAAACATCACTATTCTACAACGGTATTAACATTGACGTCAAAAGAGGATTTAGGCAAGGCGATACCACCTAGCCAAAATTATTTACTGCCACCCTCCAGGAGGTCACGCGAACCTTGAAATGGGATAATATGGAAGTGAAAATCGATGGCCGCCAGTTACACCATCTTCGCTTTGCTGATGACATCGTTCTTATAACAACAAGCATTAGTCCAGCGGAGCGTATGCTTGCCGACTTTGATAAAACCTGTGGAAAGATTGGTCCTCGACTAAATCTCACAAAAACGATGTTCGTCAAGAACGGATTAGTTTCGCTTGCCTCACTCACGCTCAACGGAACGAGTATCTCCGAATGCTCCAGGTATATCTATTTAGCTCGGGAAACCAATATGATGAACGACTTAGCTCCAGAGCTGAGCAGAAGAAAACGAGCGTCTTGGATAGCTTTCAAGAGCATCGAGGATGTAGTGAAGAGAACAAAGAACACCCGACTCCGAGCCCACCTTTTCGACTCAACGTTGTTTCCTGCCTTAACGTATGCGTCAGAAACCTGGTCGCTGCGTAAGCAGAATGAAAGATCACTCAGCGTTATCGAACGTGCAGTCGAAAGGACGATCTTAGGAGTATCCCGTTTCACACAAGTAAGGGATGGGATCCGAAGCTCCGACCTGCGTCAACGATCAAAAATCAAAGACGCCATTCTGTACGCCAAACAGTCGAAGATAAGGTGAGCCGGACACGTAATGCGTATGTATGACAACCGATGGACAAGAGCTGTTAGTGACTGGATTCCTCGGGATGTCAAACTTACTGCACAAAGACTACCAACCCTATGATCAGAGTTCTTCACAAAAAGCATAGAAGAAAGATATGATGCTCGACGAGTCCCTAGAGCGAGGCGAACCCACTGGGCTACTCTTGCATGCGACAGGGAAAAATGGAAGATTTACAGGCGCCCGCTCGAGTCACTCGACGATCAACGGGACTACAGGTGACAAGTGACAGGTGATGTTAGTCTTCTACTATGAAAAACTACGCTATGGAAGTCGATAAGAGAAAAGACAACGCCTGGTGGAATCTGACAGTCGAAATTCGAAGGCTGTAGAAGTTTAAAACAACATTTGCTGCAGTGGCATTGAAAAGAGTTCCAAATGGGAGACAGAGTCAGATTCCCGCCGCATGGTCTAACGTAGGAAAGGTGGCTGCATAAAAAGCGACCACGTAGAGATACCGTAGAGCTACATATTCTCTCGCCAAATAGATACTAACGTTGTTCAACAAAGTACCACAACTAAACAGGCTAGGACAAGCTAGGCAGCCAACAGCACAGTGGAATTTAGTGGTCAAGAAGATGTTCTGCTTGATTCTTCGTCCAATGTCTCGTTTATGTCGAATTAGATTTTCTATACCGTTACTTACGCGTCAGATCACTTTCTTACCTTTTTTCTTGCCATAAAAACTAAAAAGGATAAGGCTCTCGACGTTGATCAATCTCTGAGGATGAGCCATACATTCGACTTCATTAAGAATCGTTTGGAGGCGTTGGAGACGATTGAATGTCCTTTAAAACAACTCACGGTAGCCTACCGATGTAACGAGCCAGTGCTGCTATCCTCGCAGACAAGTCTGGCACTGCCGACCCAGGGGGAATGGAAGGCTTTGTGGTCCATGGGCGCGGGGATCGATTCTGTGTGCTGCTAGGCGTCTCCGAACACTGCCCCACATGCGCCCCCTATTCTCGCCATAGGAACATAAATTCTGTGTTTCGTAAATCTCCCCAAAATCTTGTAGTTTTGCAGAATATAGAAGCACATCAACAAACTAAAGAGATGAGGACTTACCAGAATGAGATCAAATTCCTAGCTTCATTCCATTTTGTGTTCTTTTCAATAGCCATAGTTCTCTGCGAATAATCGCAAGCGACGGAAGTTAATACCGCGGCGAGGAACCCAGATGCAGAAATGAAAACGTTCTCTGTACCAGTGTCAAATCGTCACCCCTAGTAGAAAGATAATAATGGATGACATTGCGAAATTCAGCGAATTTTCTAGCGTAAACGAAAGCGACACTATTCTGTGAAAAAATTCCTGCAAAAAAAGCCTACAGAGTGGATTTGTAACAGCAAATAAAAACAAAGTCGCATCACTTTGAATGAACAGACAATCGGAAAATTCACAACAATCTTTGAAATAGTGTGAACACATTGTAGGCAGGCCTTCAATGCAAATAGATTCACTCGGCTCAATTAAGGATTTGATCTATCAGTAGACACTACCCGTAGACTTCAACGTTGAGATCAGCCAAGGAAACGATTCAGAGATTTGTTGAATAGGAATGGGTCTGTGAGCCACTGTTCTGACGGGATAAACGTCATCTACAGTATGAACCTTCAAATAACATATGCAGGCTCACAAGTGCCTTCTGAAAGCTGCCATGCAAATCCCTGTTTTAACTAGGTAACGAACACAGATATGACAAAGAAATTAGCAGTAATATAGGAGCCTGTAAATAAGGTCTGGAATCAAACTTTTCAAATGCAGAATTTTCACTAATAATGGAAAGTCGGCAAACTGCCAGGGAATTCGAAAGCCTGAGTGTAGCAAAAATAAACACCATCAATCGGCCATCGCCATCTTTTGGTGGTGAAAGGCTTTTGGATCAGAATAATAGTCAAGTCACTACGATACGGCGACATGAAGGACTGACAGCACTTCGTGTCGTGGTGCAGAGGTGTCAGAACAGCGGTGTGAGAACGATGTATTTCTATGAGACTTGTATTAGACCGATGAGAACGACGAGACTTGTATGAGACAGATTACCTGTGTCTAGAAACAGGTTCCTAGAAGAATTCAAACCGATTCAACCCATGCTAACCGATTATAAAAGCTGAGAAATTTTGAACAAATAAAGAAAGGGTGGTCGACGTTTGCAACTAAATGATCTCATTGTCAGTTATATCTGCAACACCTTCCAATACGGTGTACAAAAATCATTTCTGCAATACAGAGATTTCAACGAACAATTTCATTTCAACAATCATCCACTTTTTCAGTCGTTTGAAACTGTTGCGCGACGAATTTGAATACTCACTCAAACTGTGCTAGATACGTGTCCCTCCAGCATACCCTCAGTTTATGCAGACTCACGAGACACTCTAAGGAAGAGAGACACTCTAGGAAGTCCGCTCGTCCGCAACGTCTGCATCGCCGTCGATGTCAAACGCTGACTGCATGAGTTCTGCTATGGTCTACGTAAAATATTGTAATGGGTGCGGAGACAAATACGTTGGCGAAACGGGTAGACCGCTGGGCGTCGTATAAAAGAACGTTTACTCGGTAAGCCCAAAGTTCAACAACGTACTCCACTAGGCGCGCACAGGAAACAAAGACATAACGGGGAGGATTTTGAAGTAGAAGTCGTATTCCTCGAGCAGGAACCTTAGACTTTTAGTGTTGTTCGTCGACGGCTGACGTTTCGGTGATTGCGCCTTCCACAGAGTCTGAACGTATTTTAGACAAGATTAATTTAATCATTCGGTAGAAAAAAAACTAGAGTATTAATGGAGGTCTAACATGTGAATGAACACCATACCGATCAGAAACTGCTCACCGTGCTGTTACCAATGCGATTTCTCGTGTGCTGTTCACGTGGAACGACGAACGAGACCCACCCAGGCCAAAAATCATTTTGAAATAAGGCGTCAGGTCACGTGTGGTAGTGAGGCAACCGTCTTTCAGATTCATCTTTGGATTTTTGAAATTTATGCAAAACGCTTCAAGAGTCTTGCGCCTTGATGTTTTCGATTCCTGCGCTTGGAGCCGCGCAGTCACTTCAAAATCATTGCCATTGTGCTCTTGTGCCTTACGTGTACCTAGGCGAGTGCTTTGACGAATTTTGCCTTTCTGATATAGGTGTCCTTCTATGCGTACACGAAGCGATCTACCCGTTTCCCCAATACATTCTTCACCGCATGCCTTATACAATATCAAGTATATTGTACCAGAACTCATGCAATCCCCGTCTCTCCCGTTAGGACAGATCATACAGTTTTCTGAGCTGCGCTAACGACCATAGAGGAGGTGGCGAACTATTTGACGCCATAGGGTACTGGGTGTGAGACCAATAATTGCTACATAATTTTTAAGACCACTTTTTCTTAAGCACCTCTTAACGGCGTAACTTATTTTATTTGATATTAAGCGTAACTTAAAAGGGATCTTACTTACGTCCGAAACATTATTTTAGGGGACTACCCTTCGTTTTTGTCTGACCAGAGTGACTTCTATTTCGTAGCCATTGGAAATGGCTATTTTTCGTGCCAAACTTGGCGATTCCTTCCTTTTCTCTTCTGCGCACATATTTTTAGCCGCTCGGTACGTGTTTTTCGTGAGTGCTTCTTTCATGTGTGAAGGATGAGGGGAGAGATAGTGAGCTAGTATATTTTTACTGCTTGGCTTACGACGCCATTATATTGTATAGCCACTTTCTCAGAGCTTAATTTGAATGTTTAAGAATGGAAGTTGCTTCTCGGTTGCTCTTTACCTTATGAATTTTATACACCCAGAGTGTCAATTTAACAATTCAAAGCACTCATCCACCTGTTCTTGCGTGAAACAGATGATGAAGCAGTCGTCCATGTATCGACAGTAGGATAAAGGTCGGCGATCGAGAACTGGAGCTTCCACCTTAGAGACGGAAAGGCTTGGTGCTAAACGCTGTCCCATGGCCAACTCTCTAATTCGTGAAAAATATTTTCCAGACCACCTAAAGATTCAACGACTAAGATACTGTTTTAAGAGAGCCATTATTTCGTGCTCTACGAAAAGCTCGAGAATGGCTTGCATTGGGGAGTCATTCGACATGTTGGTATAAAGTGAAGTAACAGCGAATGACTCCATTACATGCGTGCTGTTTGGTTGCGCGCACCGTAGGTAGTCTAGAAATATTTTGGTGTTGGGTAAATGGGTTGGAATGAACTTCAGCCAGGATAAGGTTTGGGAACCACGATATTCTATCCGTTGGCTCACCTATACAACTGACGATTGGTCTCACTTCAAATGATGACCGATCGCTGGACGAAAGGTCCTCAGGAGAACTAGGCTTTTGCGTCTTAATAAGTAATTATAGGACAGCACATGTTGGATGGTCGCCCTTAAGCCAAGAAATAACTGAAGGCTCGAAACCCGCTGCCTTTGCCGTATTGGCCCACTCCATATTTAACCTTCAGTATTGATTTCTATGTTCCTTTTCAGAGGATGATCTCTAGAGAGAAACATCGTTGAGAGGAAGGCCTGTTCTAACGCCCAACTGACTAGGAATAACTACAAATTCTCCACCTTTATCACTAATAGAATGTCGCATAAAGTTTAAATTCAAGAGCTCTCTAACCTGGCGGATACCGTCATTTTTTGCCACATTGTTTGTTGGTGTAAGATGTTGGAGCTCAATTTTCTTGGTTGGTAGCGGTTAAGTATGCGTCAAGCGCGCAAAACTCTCGAGGCGTTCTGGATTAATTCCAGGAATCTGAAAATGAACCGCAGGGAGGAATGCCTCATTACCACGCGTGATGTTGGGCAGTATACAAGCTTGTTATTTTGATGGGAGGGGCACATTAAGATTCCACGCGAACTCTGTGCGGTTGGTCTCCACGTGACAGATTTAGTGGAAGACTCATAGAAAGCGGTGAATGTGCGGAGACTCTGTGCTCAGTGTAATTGAAATTTTGTTTTTC